GCTAAAACACCTAGACCATTTGGACTCATCTATATCCAATATCCTGCTAAATGAGGATGTTGGGGAAGAATATACAAGGAGAGGTGGAGGAGCAATAAAGAGAGACTTCCAGAGACTTGCAGCATCACTGGTCTCCTGTTGGTGCTTCATCCTCAGACCCTCTTCCTGTCCACGTTACTGGCTCTGCTGGTCGGAGCACTATAATAGTATTCTTGCCTTTTTGCAACATTTGGCTGAGGGATTGAAAATGAGCAAATAGGTTGGGTGTAGGGAGCAGAGTGTGTGGTCAGGTCTGTCAGGTACACAGCAGAATCTCTTATTGCTCTCTGTTTCTTGTGGGCTCAGCCACAGGCTAACATCTTCAGCCAAGTCTAGGACTTGCTGCAGTGCTTTGCTCTGCTGTGTGCTGCTTCTGTTGCCAGGGTAGTACTATAAGTACCCCATCCCTACTGGGTGGTCTTAGGGAGGCCAAGTGCTTTCCAGCAATCGTAGCCTTCATAGAGCAAGGGTGACAACCAGAGTCACAGTTTCATACTCCTACATGACAGAGTCATGTATGAAAAAACCATAGGAAACACGTATTGCAACACTTCCATGTCACACTGTGTAGAATCATTGCTCCAGAATGAGTTGAGAGCACACTGGTTAACCCTCTGTGTTTTCCTGCTGCACTGTGCTGGATCAACCAGATTCTGACACCTAGCATGTATATGATGTTCACCAAGCCATTTTAAATAGCAGGGTTTAGGTTGTCTGCAAATGGACACAATAAAAATATGGTGGGCTGAATAACAACCTTAAATGGCCTCAACTTCATCTTTGGAATCTGAATTGCCATTCCATTATTTCTCATGATAAAGAGGATACAGAGAGGGCCCGGCGAGGTGGCGCAAGTGGTTAAGGTCCTCGCCTTGCACGACCGGGATCCCATATGGGCACCGGTTCTATCCTGGCAGCCCCGCTTCCCTTCCATCTCCCTGCTTGTGGCCTGGGAAAGCAGTCGAGGACGGCCCAGAGCTTTGGGACCCTGCACCCACGTGGGAGACCCAGAAGAAGCTCCTGGCTTCGGATCGGCATAGCATCGACCATTGTGCCCACTTGGGGAGTGAATCATTGGACGGAAGATCTTCCTCTCTCTCTCTCTCTCTCCTCTCTGTGTATCCACCTTTCCAATAAAAAAAATAATAAAAATAAATCTAAAAAAAAAAGAGGACACAGTGATATGACCCTGTTAAGGATCACAAGAGGGCTAGATTATATAAGATTATTTGTGTTGACCCATAGCAGTAACAAAGGACTTTGTATTAGGAAAATTAGAGGATAAACATGTGCAGAGATGTGATGACGGATGTTGAGATGGAACAAAAAGGAATCATGGTCTCTAGCACCCTAAAAAGTCAAGCGAAGGGATTTCTCTGCTAGAGATTCTAGAAGGATCAGCATTGTTGACACTGAGATCTTAGCTGAATATATGATATTATAAATCACAGTTGTGAGAATGAAAATGTATGCTTCATAGTATAAACCACTTTATTTAGGCCACTATTTTGAGATATATTTTTAGCAAAAATAATTGACATTAGCACAAATGCCCACACTATATTACTGTTATATCAGAATATGTATAAAATGGTGCCATGAAAGTTCCAAAACAGTGCTGTCAGAGTGAAGAATTCAATTATCAGGGAGGTGGTGATACTGGGGAGATTAAAGTTTCATCAAGTATTAGATGAGTCATGGAGAAATTAATTTTATGTCAGTTTACCAGCCTGCCTGTCCATACCTTCATCAACATTAGTGCATTAAAGGCATCTTTATTTGCCAGAGAATTTAAACTGTACTTTAGCCTTAATTTAAATGCTTTATTTTTAACCCATTTCCATTTTCATTGATACGACAATAATGGCAAGTATTACTAGGTAAAAGCTGAAGCTGTGACACATGTAGGCACTGTAAAATAATGAAAGCATATTAATTAATAGGGTCATTATCCCACATACTTGTTCTTTGCATGTGAGGAAAATGTTACTGAAAAACTGTTTCAGTAGTTTTGAAATGTGCAATCCATTATTAGTAGTTATAATCATCACATTGTAGAAAACATTATTAGAAATTATTCCTCTTATCAAAGTAATAATTTTGCAGGTTTTAGTCAACAACTAACTCTTCTCTCTTCATTCACCTCACCCCCACTACCTTCTAATGAACTACATTTTGCCATTTACTTCCATGAATTCAAACTTCAGGATCCTATATGTAACTGAGATCATTTAGTGTTTGTCTCTCTCTGCTTCCTTTCCCACTAAAAGAACTTTCCAAGTTTTGGTCTGGTTTTGGTGACACCATAGTAATGGATCACATTTGTATAACAAATACAGTCACCAAATATATGTGAGGAGAATGAAGAATGAGGAAGTTGGATGGTTAATGCATTCTGAAAGGATGAGAAGGGAGATGAGGTCATAGAGGCATCACTATAGAGAGAAGGAGCTGAGAGATACCCAGCAGGAGGAGTTGTTGATGACAGCTCAGATGCAGCCAGGCCAACAGCCCTTTTTCAGAAGGGAATGAAGCAGAGCTGGTATTCTGGTGGCACAATAAACAATCCAGTGAAAACTGGGAGGATATTGATGTCCTTTGGGTCAACCAGAGGTTTCAGCTTGAAGTTCTGTAAGATGGCGGTGAAGAACAAAAACAGCTCCATGCGGGCCAGGCCTTCTCCCGCACACATTCTTTTTCCTGAAAGCAACAACACAGAGGATGGATACTCCTTGAATACTATGTTCCTTTTGGCACAGAAAGAATGTACCATTATCATGTGATGGATTACTGAATGAATGTTTCCCAAGTGAACATAAAAGGTGATTGGAAGGATGGTTGATGTTATTGATGGAGAAGTGGATGGACATGCATTATACACAAGTCATAGCTTTGTTAACAGGAATTATCAGATAAGCAAATTTATAGAATGTCTACTCTGTGTGGCTCTTCCTCCAATCCTTTTTGTAGAGGCACACCCTGATTGCTTATGTTCCCTGTTCACTGTCAGCTATTCTATTGCATGAACATTACTGTTTCTGGTTTCAGTTAACAGTTAGACATAAATTCTTGAATCATTATTCTGTTTCTAGGCATTGAAGGAGTAGTGTTTGTGATAGAGTGATGCATTGAGAGGCAGAATTCAACCCTTCTTCTACCACTCTTACTGTGGACAGAGCAGAAGTCAGCCTCCAATTGAGGATACATCATGAGCAGGGAAGGTGCCAGAGCACTGAGCTGTTTGTGATCATTCACAGATAGCAGGTTCCCAGGTCCTGGACCAGGCATGATCCAGATCAAAAGGCTCCATGAAGTGAATCTTGACCTCTGAATAATGGAGTCTCTCTTACCTGTTGAGAAAGGCATGAAGTAGTCACTCTTCTTAAAGTTGCCATTCTTGTCCAGGAAGTGGCCAGGGTCGAACCTCTCTGGGTTGGGGAACTCTTTGTCATCATGTAGCACTGATGTCAGCAATGGTAATATGGTTGTGCCCTGGAAAGAACAGGCACAGGTAAAGAAGCATACTGATGTTAAGGAGCTGGAAGAGATGTTGAAGGTTACTTGGCTTTCATTTATTTCATTTTTGGTTGAGAAATTTCTGATTCAAAGGAAAGAAGTGACCTTCCTATTACATATTTCAAATAATTAAAGGCAGATTTACAGAAGGAGAGGCAGAAGACTATTTTTCATCTTCTGGTTAACTCCCCAAATGCCTGCAAAATCTGGGGTCTTCTAGGTCTCCCACATGTGTGCAGGGTCTAAGGACATGGACTATTCTTCACGGCTTTGCCAGGGCAGAAGTAGAGAGATGGATGGATAGTGGAGAAACCGGGTCATGAACCAGAACTCATGTGGCAGCACAGCATGGAGAATTAGCCTGGCAATCCATGGCACTGGCCCTGATAACATATAGTTTAAAAGTGCAATAAAATTGGGTTTTGATGAACTTTTTTTCCAGATGAACTTAAACAACTATAGATCTTTGGGTCAGCATGATGGCTCAACAGACGAATTCTCTGCCTGTTGGTGCTGGCATCGCATATGGTCACCGCTTCTACTCCTGGCTATATTCTCCTCCCATTCAGCTCCATGGGTTTGCCATGGGAAGACAGCAGAAGATGATCCTGGACCATGGGTACCTGGACCCATGTGGTAGCTCCTGAGAAGCTTATGGCTTTGAATCAGCTTGTTTCAACTGTTGTGACCTTTTGGAGTAAACCAGTGGAAGGAAGATCTCTTCTTCTCTCTGTAAATCTGCTTCCAAATAAACATTAAAGAGATTAAAAAATAGAAAAAGATCATCCCCACAAATTAAAGACCTTGTGATGTAAGTCATTTATGATGTAGCACAAATTATTCATTCCCAATTCATTTTAATCTGGCATCTCAAAATCCTTTTTAGTGAGCTACTTTTGCTAAGTTGCATTTTCTCTGCTTTAGTTCCCAAATCTAAACATTTATTTTCTTAGAGATAGAAGTATTCAATCTCTTCCATGAAAATCCATATACTCAGTGTATTTGCATTTTCAGGACTTTTGTATGTTAACAGGTGATTGGAAATAAACACTAGAATTTATGATACTCTCAACATACTGCAGGATGCTGAGATCTAATCAAATACACTCATAGTTTTAGAAAGTGAATGAATGTTCAAACAATTTTGCATGAATGAGAACATCAATGCTGCCCTTTAGTTCAAGTCAAGTTTTCCTCACCCAATTAGCTCATGACAAACTTGCACATAGTTTTAATACTTGAAGTAACAAAGAATTTCTAAATAGCTTTAGGGGAAAACATATGTCTGGTCTAAGAGTAGCCACATGTCTACAAATTTATTTATACTGAATAGTGATCTTACTAAATGTTTGTAAATGAACATATTTCATAGTATACATTCATTAATGAAATCACAGGAATTCAACAGTCAGCTCTGGTTAATTATCTCTGTTGGCTTTTTTTTTTTTGATATGGAACACTTCATGAATTTGCATGTCATCCTTGTTCAGGGGCCATGGTAGTCTTATCTGTATCATTCCAGCTTTGTGTATGTGCTGCCAAAGTGAACAGTGTTAATTACTTCTTATAGGACGATACAAGTGTTGAGCATTTCCATCACTGTAGAAAGTTGTATTGAACTCAACTATCGCCAAGCAGTCATAACTTAATCACAGCCCCAGCTAATTCAGCTTGCCACAGGGTTTGGTAAGTCTCTAGTTATGAATTTAATACAGAAAAATCATAAAAAGTGATAATGCTTTATGACACATGGAGTATTAAAATTTAAATTTCAGTTTATGTGACAGTTGGGACATGGTTTCTGCATTCATTCACATAGAAGTTAAAACAGTTTTGTGTAAGTATGGTGAAATTGAATATTGGCTGGAAAAAATATATGTATATGCTGAAGCTTATTACTTGTCACAGAAAACATTTTGCAATTTGTCCATGTCCTGCAGTGCTTCCCTGAGCAGGTCCCCAGAGCAGATGCAGTGTGTGAAGGAGTACCAACTCTATTGAGTCAGGAAGAATTCTGATTTGTATTAAAACACAATATTGACGAAGAAACTCTATAGCTACCACTTACTATTCACTAAGTTAGAGTGAGAATTTAGGGATATAATAAAAATAGACTAAAACTGACAGTATCTCACCTCATTCGAAGAAGATCAATGTTACTTGATATCAGAAATTTGACATGAAATTTTCAATGAACGAAAATTAGAGAATGATTTCTCACAAATATAGATACAGGCATCCTTTACATGGTGAGAAGATATCATCTGCATATTTAGTGGACAAAGTGATGCCAAATATATGTGTATATCAATGGAATTCATTAGATGGAGCTGTACACACATTGATCACAAGACATCATACAAAGATTGAGGAAAGGAAACATCTCTCATACATTAAAATGAAGAGGAGCAGTTACACTTCATCGCCTGGTATTAAACACTCTCAGAGAGACCATGAAACAACAAAGATGCCTACCCCCACAGCTCCTGCTCAACGCTTTATAGAAACATTGCTGGGGAAAATGTCATAAAGCGAAATTAGGCCATGAGATAGAAAATAAGGAATAAAACAAATATCAACCTGGTTAGCAGGATAATACATGTAAGAAACTTCAATTTTAAACAACTTTTAGCACTAATTGATGAGTTTAGCAAATTGTCAAAACAAAGAATCAAAGTAAAATGTAATTATATTCTGTCTACTAAAAATCAAAAAATGGAAAATTATTTAATATTTTATTATTGATAATACAAATACAAATATTACTTAACAGGAAGAAGCCTTATAAAATGAGTGTACCTAATTGTAATGGTAAAGTATGCAGATTGGAAAGCTATACAATACTCACGTACTGAAATATTGAAGAAGTTAGGACACCATTCTTTCTAAATTTTGCTATAGATTAGAGTCACCTTCCAAAATTTTAGGACACCAATATATATTTGGAAATGTACAGAGCTAATAATAACCCAATAATCACCAAAAAGTGCAACAAACTTGATAGACTCACATTGCCAGATAATGTTAAATTCTCACCTTTGATTCATGAAAATAATTATATTTTTATTGTTTTTTGATACAAATTTTAGCCCTTATAGAGTATTTTGGAAACAGTACTAAGTCTGTAAAGGTGACACATTTATTTGATTTGTTCTTCCCTTGTGCTGGGAGATAATGTACTGATAATGTGAATTTAGGAACCTTGAGAATGTGGAGGTGCAGTGTGAGAGAAATCATTTTACCTTGGGGATGAGGTAGTTTCTGAATTTAACGTCATGCACCACACCGTGGGGTGTATTAGTGCTAGCCTGGTTAATGAATCTCTGGACCTCATGTATGACAGCGTCCGTGTAGGGCATGTGGCTCCTGTCCTGCATGCAGGGGCTCCGGTGTCTGCCAATCACACGCTCAATCTCTTCCTGAACCTTGGCTGTTAAAAAAATAAGAAAGAACTGATAGGAAAGAGAAAACTGGCATAGTTGACAGAATATGTTAGAGCTACAAGAAACATGGGATTATCCCAAAGGCATTTAGATTTGAATTTAATGTTTCCAATATACTGAAATATATAAACTAATTGGCATAACATGACTCTCACACAAGCCAGGCACATGGTACATTTGTACATATCAATCAATTGGCATTCATGGCAGCTAGCAAGTTCACAATGGTATATATTTAAAAATATCAACATAATATTTATCACATAATTCCAGAAACTATTGGCAATGCAGAGAAAAATCAGGAATGCATAATTTTTAATAAAAATAATATAGAATATTTTACAATTAAATTGTCCTGGTAATTCCCTATAGATGCTTCTTATCTTACAATGGAGTTATGCATTAACAAAGTCATTCTAAGTTAAACATGGCATTAGTGTCCAAATGCGGTGCATACTCTTAATCTCTCTAATATGATGCATTAGTGTAGGTTTCCTTAAACATGCTTAGATCACATACAAAGCCCAACATTGATCAAAACTCTTTTTCCCATAAACTCTTTTTATTAATATGATTATCATATTATTATCATTTTATGATCCATTTCATAGGCCCTGGGATGTCCCTTATCCCCTCTCCTAATGCCCCATGTGCCACACAGAGTTCTCCCATATCATTACAATGGCAGAGTTCCTCATAAATAGCCATAAGTCCATCATTGTGGGCCTGGACAATGACAGATAATCAAGCATTCTATTGCCAAAACACATGCAAACATTTTCACTGGGAGTCCATCCTCGATGCCGAGGTAGATATGCACACTGCACCATATCCTCATATCTGCACATATCAGTCTCCACCACAAAATCAGTATAAGTGTCCCCAAGTGAAAATCCACAAAGAAAATAAACAACAGGAAGAAAAACAGAAATTCACAATGCCATAAATTTAAGCAGCATGCCACTGGATATGAAAGTCTCCATTACGGATTACTGTACATTCCCTTAAATGAAATGCCACAAAACAAAATCAACAACAGCAAGAAAATATAAGACTTACAGTGCCACAAAGTTAAATACCATGCTGCTGAATGACTAATGTGTTACTGAAGATAAGATAAAGGTACCAAAAACCAAAAAATGAGGCACCTTCTTGAAGAGAATGATGCTACAGTATGATCTATAAGACATTAAAGAATTTAATCAGAAAAAAATAACATGTTTTGAAGAAATGAAACCAAACCAAAAAATATCAAAATCCATGAGATGTAGTTTCCACTTGTCTTTGATGGTGAGATGTATCTCCTGTAGGCAACAAATTATGAGCTTCGTGTTTTTAATCCAATCCGTTAATCTATGACATTTGCTTGATGAGTTTAAGCCATTATATTCAGGCTTAATATAAGTAAGTGGTAGTTGTTGTTGTCATTAGCAATGGGTTGTTCATTGATTTAGTCTTTTATTGTTATTTTATTGGGATGTTCTTTGCATTTGCCTTTGGTTTTGGTGGATGCCAGTCCTCTTGTCTGTTAAGAGAACATCTTTAAGTATCACTTATAGGGTAGGTCTGGAAGAGGCATATTCTTTTAATTTTTCTTTGTTGTGGAAGAATTTTATTTATTATGAAAGATAAAAGAAAGCTTTGCTGAGTACCTTATTCTGGGTCAACAATGTTTGGCTTTTAGAGTCTGGAATATGTTGCTGCATCCTCTCCTGGCCTGTAGAGATTTTGGTGAGAGGTCGGTTGTTAGTGTGATTGCCGTTCTTCTTTATGTCAAATGATTTTTTTCATGAGCACATTTAAGGATCTTTTCCTTATGTTCGATTGAAGAGAGCTTAATTATCATGTGTCATAGTGAAGTTGCTTTTGTTCAACACCATTCGGAGCTCAGTGACCCTCCTGGATGTTGTTTCCAAATTCTCTTTCCAGATTAGGGAAGTTTTCATTTATTATTTCATTAAACACATTTTTTTTGTTTTGTTTTTAAGTTTAAATCAGCTGTAAAAGTTTAATTCTTAATTTAATGTAAAGAATCCTTGTTAATGTCAAAATCAATGTAGCTGGTCAATTGTAGGCATAATCTATAAACAGTTTATATATATATATATTTATTATTAATTATATTGCATTATGTGACACAGTGTTATGGGCACTGGGATTCCCCCCACCCCTCCCAGAGCCCTCTCCCCATGGTGGATTTCTCCACCTTGCTGTGTTACCACAGTTCAAATTCAGTTGAGGTTTTTTCATTGGAAGTATTTACCAAGCATAAAGTCCAGCGTCTTATTATCCTAGTGGGTTCAATGATTTCTTGGTGAGACCACTTCTGATCTGAAGGTAAAGCCAGCAGATTATCATCCCAATCAATTAAAAGCCCCAACATAACATCAACAACCATTTACAACCTTATGACATTAATTGACCTGGTATTGATTAATAGTATGTTAATAGAAAAATGCCGGCTCTTAACTACATCCTGTGACTTCTTCATTGACATTTCAATTTTTGGTTTACATTCAACTGGATTCCATACACCTTAAAATGGCTATAGATTACTATTCAGCTGTCTCATCTATTTTTATTTTTGCATTTAGCTGTTTATAGTGTTGAAGCATGATTTTGCTGAACTTAGTTGTCTTTCGGATGGTCTGAACTGGCTTGTAACTCTAGCAAGACATGTGTTATCAGTTTAGGTACAGAATTTTTTTTTTTTTTTTAGGATGGGTGTGCAGAGAAATCCCCAATACCCCAGTGAGGTGTAACTAATCTTTGTGTCCCACCTCGTGAGGCATGATTGAATCCACGCTGGCCATTTCCTGTCTGATTCTAAGCTTTCCTTGTTATTGTCTGTGCATTCTAGATTTTTTGTTTGTATGTTTGTTTGTTTGTTTTGAGGGGTTTCTGGAGCAATCCTAATGGTCACCGTGAGGGAGTGTGGGGACCCAGAGCTGGAGCCAGACAAGGACCAGAGAGAGCTTGCCTCCCTAGTCCTGAAGAAAGTTTATTATTCTGTTTCTGCAGACCGCTCAGGGCTCCTGGCCGTCGTTCCGATGACACTGGTTTCTGCACTGCAGAGATTGGACTTCTTTCATTCCCTGTGGAGGCT